GAGAGATGAAAGAAGAGACAGGGAGATTAAGGAGAGAGAGGAAAGACTCCTTAAGTTATTGGAGTTGATTGGCCGAAAATAATTTAAAATATTTTGTTAACTACAGTGTTGTTCATTTATTATACAGTTCATTGTTTTTTATGTTGTTTCAGCAGGTTATCATTACAACTTCTATTAAAGGACTTGTGTGCACACTGATTTTGTTGCAGTTTTCAGGTGTTTTTTAAGGAGTATCTAAAAGAGTTTTGCAGGAGTATCTGAAAAAGATGTTGTCTGAGAAAAGTGCCTCACAGTAGAAATATACCCACACAGTACAGACAGCTTTTGAATGTATTTAATATATTCTTTTTTTAAAGGGATAGTTCACCCCCAAAAAACAAACGTAAAACATGAAAATGGAGTAGAATTTACTGTATGTATAAATAAATACAATATAATCAAAATATAACATAAAATTACAAAATGAAATATAAGGTATTTCATAAGAGTTATAGGATTATTAACTCCAGTAGCGCAAGTTTGACAACATAAACTGATTTTTTTATTCTTAATCTGTGAAATGTTACAGATAATCGTGCTCATGTAGAGCAGGCACCCAGTTGTCTGGAGCGGACACAGCTGCAGCCAGATTGTCCCGCACATCATCTCCTGTGCTGGCTCCTGTGTTTTGGGGTTCAGGTGGGTCATCCCCATGATCCTCCACCATTTCAGGAATTACAATGTCCCCATTGAGAAGACAGAGGTTGTGGAGCACGGCACAGCATGCAACCACATCTGCCACAAAGGCAGGGCTCACTTCCAGGGCCTTGAAAAAGATGGAACGCCAGCGTGTCTTTAGCATCCCGAAGGCCCTTTCCACAATGCTCCGGGCACGACAGTGCTTGGTGTTGAAGCGAGCCTGTATAGGATTCTGAACAGGCTCTCTGTAAGGGGTGATGAGGCAGATGGGTGCCCGCAAACAAGGATACCCACCATCTCCAAGGAGGCATTTTCCTGCAGGTGGATACAGTTTGCCGGTATAAACTGGGCTGTTCTTCAGCACTCTGGCGTCATGCACAGATCTAGGAAACCCAACAAAGATGTCAAGAAACTGTCCCTGGTGGTCAGTGATGGCCTGCAGCTGGACAGAGTAAAACAGCTTTCTATTAAAATAACATGGGCCATCACTTGCTGGTGGTTTGATGCGGATGTGACACCCATCAATTGCTCCAGCTACTAAACAGAAAGCTGGAGACCCAGCCAGCTGGGCAAAACCTGCTCCCACTGCCTCCAGGTCATCCACGTTGGGGAAAGAAATCATTGTTCTTAAAATGCCAATGACTCCCTTGCTCACTCTGTGCACAATGTCATGCACAGAGGACTTGGGGATGTCTAAGGCCATTGACACTACCCTGTGTTAGGTTATTTCCTAGTTAGATAGATATTCAGAGATTTGTTGTCTAGAAATGTTTAGTGCAGACAGATTGACTAGCTCAGGCTGTTAACTGTTCAGTAAATGTGCCTGCAGTGCAGACTGCAGGCAGGTCAAGGTTACAGGCAAAGAGCTGTTGGTGTCAACTATAATGCTAGTCTTAATATTTGTCTTAATGTGTAAGGTTATGTCCAATTGTTTTAGATACACGCCACGAAAACAACAGCCACGCACCTTGACTTTTCCTCATATTTTGGCTAACGTTATAGCCAGCTGCAAAGCTGGCTTATCAGGTGACGTCACGGTTTTGACGCCCCGAGTAGCATGGGCTAGCCCAAAAAAATGATTAAGATTATATAGGTTTGTTGGTCCAGGCTTCTTGATCTTTTTCTGCTGCCTGCGCGCAGGTAGAGGGTGAGAGAAAGATCTGGACGTGTAATGTAAATTTTACCTGTG